TGGCTGAGCAGGAGTCCTACAACTGGGGACGCACAGAAGAGGCCACCTTGAGACTGGTAAGAGGGCAGAGACGCGGAACGGGCTGGTTCCATGTTTCTATGTGGCGGTTGAGAATCGGGTTGAGAATCGGCATGGATGTCGCGGCTGCAGAGGTTCCCCCTGAGGAGTGAGGGGTCCTGGCCCCACACTAGGCTCCCAGCTCAGGGTTCCAGTGCCGGGAAGAAAAGTTCCCACAACCTCTGGCTGTGTGGAGGCCGAATGGGATACAGGGATGTGGGAATCGCAGACTTTCCTCTTAAGCGCCCGCGGGCGGACTCACCGCTGTTGGACTCGCTCGCTCTGAGCACCAGTGTGGGAGCCCCAGCTTGACAAGTGCCACAGTCACATGGGGAGGAACTGGGTTGTCTGGCTTCAGGGCAAGGACTAGAGGGGCAGCTTTCTCCCAGACAGAAGTGCTGACATAGGCCACTGTCCCTTTGCTGGGACCTCTCTCATGTGGCAGGCAGACCCAGGGGCCGTCATATTGAGTCTCCATCAATATGAGATGGCTGATGCCACTCACTCCACCCACGTGATTCTTTGAGGCCCCGCCCCTCCTAACTTCTGAGCCCACCAAGCCACTTCTAGTGGCTTTTCCATATAAACAGCCTGTGTTGACTCACGCTCAGGACTTCCCTAAAATCTCTCAGAGGTTCACAAACCCCAAACAACAGTACCTGGCCTCGGTGTGCCACGTACCCTTTGCTGAGCAGCCCCAAGCCCGGCACTAGTGGCAGCTGGCTTCAATTTACAGCTAAGCCTCTCCCAGGTGCCTCTAATGCCAGCACAAGTGGCAACATCTGCAGATAACTTTGTAGCTCATACCAAGTGGCCCTGGGCAAGGCACAGGCAATAGCTGAACTTGGCTGACAACAGAGCCCCTCCCAAGAGGCCCCAGAACCAACACAACCAGTGGTCAGCTTCAGACCACCCCAGAGCACCACCCAACCATGTCCGCAAATGACACACCCAATGGGCAGACTGAGCAGGCACCAGAGCCCCACTAAAGTGAATCCTGCTCCGTAGGGTCAGCTCCCGCACAACACTCCTCCAGCGTAGTCACAGCCCATCCTCACGACCAATCAGCCTGAGGATCAATCTCTCTGACTGACGTGCGAGTAGCAATCAAGGCTCAACTACAACCGGAGGGCACACACAACCCACACGAGGGACACACGTGCAGCACATGGCTCAGGTGACCAGGGAGACGGCACTACTGGGCCCCACAGGACACCTACTACATAAGGCCACTCTACTAAGATCAGGAGACATAGCAGTCCTACCTAATACGCAGCCAAAATGGGGAGACAAAGAAACACGTCCCAAATGAAAGAACAAAACGAGGCTCAGGAAAAGAACTAAACAAAATGGAGGCAAGAATCTAACACATGCAGAGCTCGAAACTCTGGTTATAGGATGCTCGATGATCTCAGTGAGAACGTCAACAAAGATGTAGAAAGCACAGAAATGGAGGTAGAAAAAGAACCAGTCAGAAATGAAGAAATCATTAAAAGGAATCGACAGCAGACCAGATGAAGCAGAGGATCGAACCGGTGATTTGGAAGAGAAGGCAGCAGAAAACACCCAAGCAGAACAGCAACAAGAAAAAGAATCTAGAACAACGAGGATGGTTTAAGGGGCCTCTGGGATAACATCAAGCGTACCAACATTTGCATAATAGGGGCATCAGAAAGAGAAGCGAGAGAGCCAGGATTTGAAAATCTAGTTGAAGAAATAATGACGGAAAACTTCCCTAACCTGGCAAAGGAAACAGACGTTCAAGCCCAGGAAGCTCAGAGAGCTCTAAACAAGATGAACCCAAAGAGGCCCACCCCAAAACACAAGATAATTAAAATGCCAGAGGTGAAAGACAGAGAGAGACTCTTATGCGGCAGGAGAAGAGCTGTTACCCACGAGGGAGCTCCCATGAGCCGGTCAGCTGATTTCTCAACAGAAACTTTGCAGGACAGAAGGTATCAGCACAAAATATTCAAAGTGATGGAAAGCAAGGACCTACAACCAAGATTACTATACCCAGCAAGGTTATCATCTAGAATCAAAGGACAGAGCTTCCTAGACAAGAAAAGACTAAAGGAGTTCATCCCTGCCAAACCAATATTACGAGAAATGGTAAAAGGTCTTCTTTAAGAAGAAGAAAAGATAAAAAATTTGAATAATAAATGGCAATGACTACATATCTATCAACAATTACTTTAAATGTAAATGGATTCAACACTCCAATCAAAAGACACAGAGTGGAAAAGAGAATAAGACCCTTACATATGCCGCCTACAGGAGACTCCACGTTGAAGGACATAGATGGAAAGTAAAGAGATAGAAAAAGATATTTCATAAAAATGGAGGGAAAAAAGCTGAAGAAGCAATACTCACACCGGACAAAATAGACTTTAAAACAGAAGCTACAGCAAGAGACAAAGAAGGACCCTGGAATCCCACTTCTGGGTACTTATCTGAAGGGACCCAGGGCACTACTGTGAAGGGACGTGTGCATCCACATGTTCACTGCAGCATTATTTACGATAGTCCAGATATGGAGACCACCTGGGTGTCCATCAGTGGATGAATGGATAAAGAAGAGGAGATACATGTAATATATATAATATTACCTAGCCCTTGAAAATAAGAATGAAATCTTGCTATTTGCAACAACATGGGTGGACCTAGAGGGTGTCGTGCTGAGTGGCTAAGTCAGACATAGAAAGACAAATATGATTTCACTTTTACGTAGACTCTAAAGAACAAAATAAGTTAACTAACAAAACACAAACAAACTCACAGATACAGAAAACATTTTGGTGGTTGCTGGACGGGAGGGGGATTATGGGGCGGGGTTAAAAAGGAAAAGGGATTAAGAAATAGACATTGTTAATTACAAAATAGTCACGGGGATGTAAGGTACAGCATAGGGAACATAGTCAATACTATTGGAATAACTGTGGATGGTGTCGGATGGGTACTAGATTTATCAGGGTGATCACTTTGTGAGCTCTATAAATGTCTAATCACTATGTCGTATATCTGAAATTAATATAATATTGTATGTCAACCGTAATTGAAAAATAAAAAATTATTGAAAGCAATAAAACCTCAACAGTAAAACAAAAAACATTTGAAGAAAATGCTCTGTGTTTTATACCTATTTATAATAGAATTAAAAAAACAAAAACAAAAACATGATCAAGCTTAGTTAATGGTTTCCCCTGTGTAAGATAATGAATCTTTCTGGAATTGAATCCAGTTCTGCTAAAGGTAGGATTTTGGAATTCCGAGCTCCAGAGCTGACCGCCACCGCGGTGAGCACCTCCGGCTGCGCCCAGCTCCAGCACCCACATCCTCACCTTCTGAATGTGCAGTGCGGCTGCCCCCACATCCGCCCCTTTCTCTCCAAGGAGCCTGGCTTGCTTTGCTCTGTATTCTCGAAGGAAGATCTGCTTCATGAATATCGCTCTCAGGCGACCCTGCCGTGCCCTCTCTGCGATCTGGATTAATTTTATAGCCTCTTCTAGGGGTATACTCTTTCCAGGGTATTTCTGCAAAAGGCATTTGAGAGAAATCAGGGTTTAAACATGTTAGGTGCACCAACGGATCCCGGATACATCACTCGCTACTTCCAACCCAACCTCGCAAAGCATTCCCAAACTGTTGCTAAAGAGTGTGAGAGCCGCTCAGTACTAATTATTTTCCCATGAATTATGTATATTTTGATAATCTGCCATGTTCGCGCTGTGGTCCCGTTTTTAAGGATTCCTTAAGCTTTCCTCTGCCATTCCAAACAAAATCCTAATTAGCTGTACAATATTTTATGTTGGCTGAGAATTATACTAGGAATGCCAATAAAATGGATTCAAGGAAACTTGAAATTGCTACCAATGTTTCATTAACTTAAAAGTATAAACATAAATTAAATACACATCTCTAATACGAAAATTTAAAACATAAAATGCACGTGAAGTGCAATGCTAACTTTAACATCAGTTACAGAATGATGTAGTGAGTGTGACCAACGCTGAAATCATTGCAGGAGTATTAACTTTATGTGAAGTGTCGTCCGGCATTTACAAATGTGCATTCTGGAACATTCGAACGTGATGGGTGCTGCGAAGCACGAGAGAAATCGGGCCCGTGCAGTAAAATGCTGTCTGGTGATCTCAGGTGGGGAATGTCGCAACGAAGTCAGGTGAGGGGCTGTTCTGGAGGAAAGCGTGGGTGAGAGCAAGGGGGGCCGGGGCGTCCAGAGGCCTGCGTGAGTGATACTGGATGAGACTATGTATGAAAAAACGTCTGAATTTCATGAGAATGTACGTGAAAAGCATCTGGCTTCTGCAGGTTCTCAGTAAATATTCTTTCACCCCCTTTTTCCTGTGTGCGTGTGCGTGTGCGTGTGCGTGTGCACACACAGACACGCACGCTGTTCCACAGAGGAGGGGGCTCTGCGTGGACTCAGGCCCCAACCCTCTGTTGTCCCTGGAGCGAGGGTGACGTTGTGCACGTGGCCTGGCTCGGGTAGAGCCTCATGCACGGATGGGGCACAGGGAGAGGCCGCGGGAATCGGAAAAAACCCGAACACGGGTTGAGGCCTGTTCCGAGTCTCAGAGGGTGGCGGTGGCCACCTCATCAGGACACAGAGCAGGACACTGAGGTCCCGAGTCTGGGTGCTCTGGTTCATCACCGGGGCTTCTCTGTGTAATAGTGCGTGTGTGTGCACGCGTGTGTGTGTGTGTGCACACAACATGCACGCACTGGTCTGCATCCGCAGTGGCAGCTTAGTTGCTGATAGTGCCCCGTTCACCCTGATTTGTCCCCATTTGGACAGTCAACTGCCGCCTTCCTGCTTGGGCCACGAAGACCCGCCAGAGGCACGAGGCACTGATTTGGTAGGCAGTGAGGGACACCGAAATGCACAAGCTGACTTGCCAGATGTGGCAGATCCCCGTGGAAAGGGTGGGAGAAAAAGCCTGTCACAGGGAGCCGAGTGGGACGTCACTGCCCAGGAGAAGGAAATGAGACAGAACAGCTGTGAAAACAGGCAGGAGCTGGAGGTGCTCGATGCTGGGGACGAAGGAGGTTCGGGGCCAGAGAACTGACTGGACTCCATGTGTCCTTTGCTCTCTGGGGGGTGGTGGTTGGGGGCGGGGCTAAGGATTTTCTTTCTCTTTCCCCACAGACAGTCCACTCGAGGTGATCCAAACACCTTTATAACTCAACCTGAAGTTATAAAAGGTCAATCAGCATTTTTAGAACGTGCAATAACTTTCGAGTTCTTGGTAAGTTATCTTAGCACATAATTATTTTATGTCAACAGCATTCAGCACCCGACTCAGGCGAGGTGGATCCAAGATGGAAGGTTACACGGGGCTGATAATCTACTCAACCTTAGAGACACTGATTTAACCAACAGAGCATCACATTTTGATCTTTATTTCGAAGTTCTTGAAAAGTAATGGTTATGAATCACCAACGACAGCTCCTTATACACTGAATGACAAGGGGCAAGGGTGCTGTTCTCCTCACCTGAAAAGGCATATAACTCTTTCTTCATTAGGAGCAGAAAAAGGAGGTTTTACAGATAACGGGATAACGTTTGTTAAAATGATGTACGAACCAGTTCAGACATGTCCAATCCAGAGTCGGCTAATATCTGAGCGAGGATTTTCTCTCTTCCTTTTATTATTTCTAGCTTCTCCTTCAAAAAATACTTGGGTATGGGAATGTCTAATTGTTCCTGGAGAAGACAAAAAATAAGCAGAAGAGCGTTTTTGTCACGATTCCAGGACTCAACTCTATTTAAAATATACAGAAAGGACGTGTGAATCTAGGGACTGGCTTTGTTTCCCACCCTCACTGAAGAGAAGATGAGCCCCGTGGACTGAAGAGAATTTGTTACCGCTAAGAAGACACGAAGTCAAAAAGGAAAATCGTAGCCACGTCCCTTGTTTTAATTATTACGGTGAAACCAGTCATTCATATCAATGAACTAATTCAACTCAATTAACTAATAAGAATAATTTTTTAAAGAAATACAATAGCATCTCAGCCTATCTAAAATAATAATGCAAATTAGAATAGCAAAGTATAGAGCCGTAGAGTTCTTTGAATTAAACCTAATAATTTATCAACACCAGCAACTATTTGTACGTAAATGGTGACAGTTTTTCTAATAATTCTGTTTGTTTTACCTAAATTACCACATTACAAACATGATTTTAAGAATTAATTTATTAGAAACCTTGTTTTTTATACAATAAATATAAACTTACATTCTTCTGTACATCACCAAATATTTCAAATTAGTGGAGGTCAAAGGAGTATTTACCAGTCCAAGTTCAAAAAGCAAGACCACACAAGGGTTACTGAAGGATGTGGGTGGCCCTTGGCCAACCCCACTGAGAAACGCTGTCCTAGATACTGTTTCACACACACCCTGCTGCCTTCTGCTAGATCGGATGACTGGGGGAAGCTCAGGTTCTTGTCTGCAGGATCGGTGCTTCCTTCTTTCCCATTCGGGTGTGGCCCCCCACACACTCCTCTCAAACCTGGGAATTGGGAACAGGGCTTCGGTAAATAAGCATCATGGCGTAGAGGGGTGTCTCTCTGAGGGCCTGGTTGGGAATGTGTCCCCACGACTTCTGGGAGGTGGCAATCGTTTTTGAAAACCGAACCTTTCTTAGTCTAATGGCGTATCTGGGGGGGACTAAGCGTGAGCTTCCAGGATCCGGTGGCCTGGGAGTGGGGGACAGTCAGAGGAAAATGACTATATTTCTATGTTGTGATTTTGTTTATTAATAAGCATGTTCAAGTGTCATGTGTGTCTAACTTTTAAGACACAAACTTTATGGACATGGCTCCCATTGGTCTATGTAGAACCCTAAAATTATAGTTAGGGTTTGGAGGGGGAGGAAACCGCAGTCGGGCATGGAAGAGAGGAAGACGGCCATCGTCGCCGCAGGCTTCCTGCCGGGTCTCCGTCCGCGAGATGTGTCCGCCCCACTGCCGTGGGTTCTAGGCTCCGGGGGTCGAATCGAGGAAACGTCTGGTGGCAGGGAAACTGTCTCCCCTTCACGTTTCTCTACATTAGGGGACCTGTCAGGAAAGCCTCCTTATCTGGCAAGTTCCAGAAACAGTGTCCTGGCTAGTTTAGCCAAAAGGGGACACTGACGGGAGGATTTGGGACCTCGTGGCACCGGGGCAGGGGCATAGCTGGATGTCTGTCAGCAACAGGGGGGGATCCGGGGATGAGGACGCCTTCGGGACTCTGCCAGTTACCGCTGCTCCTCTCGGTGGGTCTGCACTGTTCTCACCCCGCCCCCTTTGCTCCGAAGAGCAGCTTCCTGCGCATCCGGTGAATAAAGTCTGCAACTCCTCACAAGTTTGGGAGACGCCAGTTCAGACCCTGAGACAGAAATTGGTCTCTCTGTCCCGGTTCGGGATCTCTCAAGGAAGGACTGGACGATGCAGCCGCCACGGTGTCCATCCCTGAACTAATCCCCTGTGGTCAGAGGTGCTGGTCATAGTGTACAAATAGCCGGGTGCTGGCCCAGCAAGACCTAGGGAAGCTGTGGGCTATGCGGGTGACAAAGCCACAGAAGCCCAGATACAGAGCGGTCTGGGGTTCCACCCTGAAATGCAGGACTGGGCCACAGAGAAGTTTCCAGAGGTTGCTGTGTCTCCCTGGCCAGGGCAGTGTTTATGGAGTCCACGCTTCTGCTGTTGGATGCACCCTCTAATGAGCTGGACCTCAGTGCCGTGACATGGCTCCATCTGCACCTTCCAAGACTGTTGATAGTGTCCTGCCATGAAGGCTTCCTTGACGATGTCACTCATTCATCATCCCTCTCAATGTTCACGGCTCCATCATCCCTCTCAATGCTCATGGCTCCATCATCCCTCTCAATGTTCACGATCCATCATCCCTCTCAATGTTCACGGCTCCATCATCCCACTCAAACGCTCACGGCTCCATCATCCCTCTCAACGCTCACGGCTCCATCATCCCTCTCAATGTTCACGATCCATCATCCCTCTCAATGCTCACGGCTCCATCATCCCCCTCAACACCATGGCCTTCAAAGCAGAGGGCTGACTGAAGCAGTAAGAAAAGCAGGGGAAAAATCGAAGGAATCCACCATATAAATTTCATAAACTTCTTATTTCTTAAATTTAGGAATATTATTTAATATGTTTAGAATAAAATTAATTAATTTAATATTACTTTATTGATTTAATGACTATTTTTTTCACATTTCCCTTAAGTTGTTCGTGATATTTTCACGTGGGTAAGTAAAGTACACATGACCTAAAAAATCTGGCCCGTTGGTCCACGCTCTCCCAAATGGATGCAATGAGCGTGAAGGCTGCGGTGCGTTGTCCGGCACCTCATTCAGCTCAGTTACCCTCTCTGGTCCATTGGAACAGAACGCACTCACGCTAGGAAATCTGTCCCAGAAAGAAACTTAACCTTTACAGAAGCCCAAATATTTTCAAAAGGAAGGAACATTAAATCCCATGTAGAAAATTAAACATGTTATACTTTTAATGTCACTTTATGGAAACATTTCTTGCAAAATGAAGCCTGAACTCATGGGACCATGATGCTGACGTGAGGTGTGCACCTGTCCCTGGCAGACCCGGCCAGACACAGAGCCTCGGCAGACACCGGGCGGTGGCACTGAGGGCGAGGGGTGGAATGCCCACGGGAGGGCGCTGTGGCCACAGGCGCCAGCAGGGAGAGCTCCAGGGGCTGGGGAGAAGGTCCCTGAGTCACCACTCACCCAAAGCGAAGGAGGAGGTGCATCCACCTGGGAGGAAGGGGGCAGCAACCAGAGGCTGCTCCTCCAGAACGTGATGGGAACTGAAGCCCAGAGAGGCTGCCTCTGGAAACCGGAGCAGGGGTGCTGCTGCTGATGCTCGGGGGGCTTTCGTGCCACAGGATATTTGGGAAGGGGGCGGCCTACTCCATCCCAACAGGCCTGGACAGACACCCCGGCGACAAGCAAGACCACGATAACCTTGGCGTCCAACAGAATGGAGTGATTCTTCTGTGCCCCAAACTGAAGAAACCCAATCCGGGTCCAAGGCTTACCGGAAGGGGTCCCCTCCGACTGCTCACATAGCAACCGGCTAGTAAGTGCGTCTACACCGTCTGGAGCGCATCGGCTACAGGCCTACGTATCTTTTTTTTTTTTAATTTATTTTTAAATCTTTGTTTCTGTAGATTTGGCATTGACCCCTGCATCTCTGAGGGTTTCTGGATGGTCCTTAAAAAGCCCTTCAGGGCTTTCTTCTGGTTTGGGGTATCAGCCAGGGTCACCCAGAAAGCTAGATGCAGCCGCTGGGTGATAAAAGCCCTGCGGTAAACCGACTTCAAGCTAACCGCAGGGTGGCAGAAAGCGTCTAACGCAACCAAGTTGCATTGTGTGTTCACTGCCCCATTATCTTATCTAAAACACGAAGAAACTCAGAATCCCGAGGAAAGCCGAGCACTCACGGGAGCCAGCTTCAGGTCCTGCAGGATGTCGTCGAAGTAGTGGAACTCCGTTAACTCCAGGTTGACCATCTCGTTCTTCAGCTCCAGGATGCGGCCCATCACCCCATCCAGGACTTTTCGGATCAGGATCCGTTTCTGCGGGTGGACGATCTGGTCATAGGCGTTCTCCAGGTTTCTGAAGATCTGCACGTATTTTATGTAGAAGGTGGCCAACGTCTGGAAGATGAAAACTTGACTTCTGCGTGGTTCCGTGATATTCTGAGACTCTTTGTCAAGCAAAGAATTGAGGGCTTCTTGGGTCTGATGCCACATCTTATTATACATTCTGAGGAAAGACAGAGTTTAGATAAAATGAGTCATGGTTGCTTCGTGAGGCATCCACGCTGGGCGTCTGGTGTAATAAACATAATGCATCATCAGCGTGAGCTGCATGCAATCACGAGTCTCCCCAGACAATCTATCTGCTGTTTTGATGCGCATGTGAATTTTGGATATGACCACTGCCATTATCAAATAAACAATTTTAAAAACCTTTCATCTAAATGATATAAAGTGAGTCCTCACTATACCTGTCGAGCCAGAGTTGAACTTGATAAGCAGACTAGTTAACTGACTTGTCCACGTACAGGGCTGATGGAGTATAAGCTGGAACGACCGCTTTGGGAGGTAATTCAGTATCATCTTGTAAAGTTAAACAGGCGCATACCCCAGAAGGGACAATCACACCCCAGAGTCTCTAGTAAATCTGAACCAAGAATGACCTTGGTAACAGCGAAAACCTGGAGATAACGCCAAGGTCCGCCAACGAGAGTGGATAAACAGACTATTCCACAGCAGTGAAACAATGAATTGCAGCTCTAGGCACCGACTGGGAACCTTACGACCATGACGTAGGGTGAAGAGCAAGGTGCTGACGCTGGCCGGGGAGGCGGCCTCTGTGGGCTGCCTCGGCCGGCTCCAGGGCCCTTGGGTCCGTTGTGTGGGCAGAGGGAGTGGACAGGCAGCGAGATTGTGGAGAGTGAGGGGGAGGTGTGTTCTCTCCCAAGGCCAAGGCCGACCTGGGGCAGCAGCACACAGTCGGGAGCCTCCTTCTACCCAAGGCTCAAGGGGGCGACAGCTGAGGTGTCGCCAGTCAGAGGCTTCGGGCTTTTTTTTTTTCTGTACTATCCAAGAATCAGTGTGTCTGGGAAGGGGCTTATCACCAGTGGGCTTCGCCGGGGGTGCGGGGGTGGGCAGGACCCTGGCGTTCCCCAGCTGAGGGGGCACCCGCGGGTGTCGGGGTCTGTCTAGGTGTCTGTCTGTTAGATGTCCCCTACTGCAAGGGCGGCCCTGCCCCGCACCTTCAGAGCAGATGGGTCCAGGGGCCCAGGGCTCCCCCTTCCCCTTCGGGGTCGTCTGGCCTCCCACTCCCAGCTCACCCGCGCCTGGCGTCCCCTGCACGTGCCTCTCCCGCGGGACCGGAGCGGCTTAGCACGGGCTCTCTGGGGACGAAATGCCCCCGGCTGAGACCTAGGACCGGTCCTCCCACTTCGGCCCGGCTCCCAAGGACCAGGCCCTCCCGCCGTCTTCCCAGGGATCTGCTGGGACTCGGGCCCTTCACCTCCCTGCTGCTGGCCTCCAGGTCACCTTCTCCACCCTCCTCTTCCGTCTCCCCCCACTTCTGTGACACCCCTTATCAAACACTCGTGTGTGCATAGCCTTTTAAATCCTTTATGGCCATTTTGGAGGTGATTCGGGAGGTGGTGGAGCTAAATATGCTCGTTTACCCTCCCTTTGCCCTGGGGTCCCTCCCCCACCTCCCCAAGGACCCCTCGAGGCGCCGTGCACCTGCCCCTCCGGCCTGCCTCGCACTGTCCTCTGAGTAAGACGCTGTGAGCATCACTTGCTGACGCTGACCCCCTGGCGCCCTCTGTCCTACAGGTGATCCTGGCGGCCCCCCACGAGGGGGAGCCCCTGTCTGCCGCCGAGGGGGGCGCGGACACCACTGGCTCCTGAGCCGCGCTGTCTGAACCTAGGTCGGCGCGACTCCGAGCTCGGAGCCCCGCTCAGCGCCGGAATGCCACCCCGCGCAGTCCCCTCTCCGCACCCCCAGATGGCTTATCCGCTCGCGTCCCCCGTGTCTACACTGCACTCACTGACTTTCTGCTGAGCCCTGGGCTTCTTCGTACACCCGCGGCATCTATGCGCTGTGCGCTTCCCTCCAGCGCAGAAGAG